TGAAAGCGGAGGCCAGCATTAATTGCTGAGGGCCAAAGTTAAAGGCAATCTCTGATCTATGATTAGCATCCAAAATTCCGCAGGGTTTCAATTCAACAAGCTCAAATACCCAGGAGTATCTCAAGTATGTTAGATTACGAACGGTTGAAGATTCAGACCAGTTACTGATTATAAAGGTTGTTTATCGACATTAAAAACTTAGAACATCTATAAAGAATCAATAGCAACATCGGCAAATGATCAACTGGAACGAAAGAAACAACAAATGAAACCGTGGATAACTGGACGTTGGAGAATAAACGGTTGTAAGAAGAGTCGGTTTGCCAAGACTGATAACCAAAAAAGGTTCAGGAGAGAAGTACAGAAAGAAATTTAAAAATCATTAAAGAAAGATGACGGATGTTTCTGGTGGAGGCAAGATGAAATAATGAAAGAATTTTGCTTGAAAAAAAACTATGTGAAAACCTTGTTCAAGAAAGTTGGTTGCTACTTCGACAAAAAATGGCTTGACCAACATCCGTTTTAAAAGAGGATGGTAACACATGTCTGATCTTACAGAAGTCACTGAGATATGGAGAAAATACTTTGAATCACTATTAAACTCGATGTGACTGTGAAACAAGATTCACCGTATTATATTATAGATTGACAAAAGAAGGGTGTCGAAACCGGACCGCTGACCATCAAAGAGGTGGCTGAAGCCTTAAGTTAACTGAAAATTGCCCAGAGCTGCAGAAATAAATGAAATACGACAATAACTAATTAAGAAGCCTGGAAAAGATTGAGTGCCGGCATTACTAAACCGCTTTAGAATGAAAACGAAGAAAGAGAAGATCCGGTTATTCAAGTAAGGCTGTTGCACGAATCCAAGCAACTAGCGTGAAATAAGCCTACTGTCCGTAACTGAAGTGCTCATGCCTGTTATGAGGAACAGGATCAAATAGCATAGTCAGCAGCTAAGGACAGACAAGAATGTTTGAACCAGACATTCGCAATGAGCCAGCTAAATGAAATGAAAAGAGAATGGGGTGTGTAATCCCTTGAAATCTTCAATGATTTCACCAAAACGACTGAAGTTGGAGAGACATTTTGTGGAAAGTTGGTGAGTCATATGTAAACCCACCAAAGATAATTCACATAATTAAGATGTATGATTTTCGTCAAGTACAGTGCGAATTGAAGGCAAGTTTACATAGAATGAAGGTCGCCAACATCAGCCACAATTAAACATGTGCGCACTCTTTAAGGTTAAAGCCATATTTACGATATGTTTAAGGATGTCCAATATAAAAGAACAGGCGTATCGATACAGATAAAAAACAATTACTTGCGATCTCTGAGCTTTGCTACCAGAAAC